CTTCTCACTCTTCCATTGTCATGAGTAACTTTCATACGGGTGTTACATATTTGGGGGTCTATGCCCTCCTCCTCTGTCCTGGCAATCTTCGTGTCGATAGTTCTCCACCATTCCATTTGTTTGCTGCGTGATCGGGTACTTACCCCGTCTCTCAATTCATCCCTCCTCCCTATCGCACGCTCTTCCCCATTGCTGATAGGAACGGTATTCAGGCGGACACCAGGTCTCCAGATCTCTGCATTCTGATTCCCCGCATTCTCACTCCCCTCTTCTGTGCTCGTCTTTGGGGGGACTTCAAAGTGTTCGTCCCGGGAGGGGGCTGCATTGTTGGTGGGGGTATTCCTTGTCTGCAGGGAATCCAGGCAGAATTCCGTGTCTCTCCCTTTCACCGTATGCCTAGGCAATCGAGCCATGCTTTCGTTCTTCTTCTCCCCCCTACCCACAGCGTCAGGCTGCAGGCTCCTCATGCTGGATCTTCCACACTCTCCACAGTTGTTGTTAAGTTCTGGGGGTGGGGGTCTATCATGATGATATTGGGGAAGGGGGAGGTCTTCCATCGGTGGATGATTACGTGTGTTTGACAGTGGTAGCCTCCTCAGACGTTCATTAGAGCGGTATTGGTGTTGATCGGGCGAAATGGGGGTGTCCCTGGAGTGTAGAGGGTTGGCCAAAGTTCCATCTATCTGTTCAGGATGGAGGCCAGGTATCCCGTCACGTTTACAGCTGTGCAAGCATTGTTCAGGCCGCTTATAATAATTTGCATGGTGTTTAAAATCCCATTTCCTCAATGCTTGTTGCACTGGATGTAAGTCAATGTGACAATTAACCGCATCTTTGTTGGAATACCACGCCTCTTTCAATAGCCGCCCTCCCTTAGTGGCATCCTCAGACATAATGCAAACATTCACAAAGTCAAACTGGTGGCCATGTTGTGCCATATGCATCCACAATTGAGAATGCTGCTCACCCCTTCTTATAGCTAACTGATGTTCATGCAAGCGAGATCTTAAATGCTTAGCTGTTTCACCCACATAGTTGCCATCGCATTCTTAGTTTTTTGATTAAGAAAAGGCATAGAGCTACCATGTTTTAGGTAGGTAATGTAGATCTCTTGAGATGAAAAGAAACAATGAATAAGCCTCTGTGTGATAATTTTAAATTAAGATTTTTGCATATTCATCACCTACTCTTTAAAAAGTATCTTGCATTTATCGTGGCTAATTTTCTTACAAATTGATGTCAAAGGGAAATTTATGGTCCCCTAAAGCAAAGTTTGTTAAGAACCAATTATTCTTTCAATGAAACTTGGAAGTCTGATTATCTTTACCAGCATGAGGCCCTTTTCATTCTTCAATCTGCACTAGGAAAGACTTGAAATGTATGTTTCTCTTTATTTTTATGGTTTATCTTGGCATGTGATTAATATGCTGAATAAACAGCTCTAAATAAAATTAATCTTAAATCTCTTAATTTGTGGGTTGCTATTACTTTCTTTCACTGACATCATTCATAATGTGAATGCAAAAGTATAAACACAGCAACAATGAGGATATCTGCATGGTATTGTACAATTATATCACATTGAGTTATGACACATTTTGAAACATATAAGTAATGGTTCTCTTTATGGATTATATTCATTATTATGCAAGAAAATATTCTTGCAACTTTCCTTTGTATTCCCTTGTATTCCTTTGTATTCCTTTGTATTCAAATAGCAGCAGTAGGCCAGTGGTAGCACCACAGCTGAGTTGAGGTTAGTCTCAAACTTGTGGCTTTCTGGGTTTTGCTACCATTACCTGTTTCCAGTAGTGGGATTCAGATATGTGAACAACTGGTTCTCTGTGTGGATGCCGCTTCCGGAAGTCCATTCTGGGCCTGGGCAACAAAAAATTAGCTACTGGTTCTGCCAAAGTGGTGCGAACCGGCTGAATCCCACCATAGCCTGTTTTCTTCTACCTGACCCACACCCTCTGTTACTTACTGAAAAATTAAATGGTCATCTTCTGACACCATGTAGTATTGAGGCATATAGCTAGGGGAAATCAGTCCATTTTTTTCTCCTCCCCTTTTCAGAAAGGCCAATTTTACAGAATGTTAATAAAGTCAAAACTTTATTTTTTAAAAAAAGGAAAAGATCAATTTAAAGTTCCATTTTGATGTTAAACCTTTTTATTGCGCAAAACCTTTCCCTGGTAGAAGAGAAAAAAATATAGAGTTGATCAAATGACGTATCTTATAATAACCTCCAAAAGAAAAATCTATATATAAGACTCTGGGACTTTTTCCAACATCTAATAGATTAAAAAACTTCTTTTTCCCCAAAAATTCCAGGAATGCTACTCCTTAGATTCAGTTCTTAGCTTCTTGCCTTTTCCCAAAGAGCTGCTTGCAGTTTTCAAAAGAACAAAAGAGTTTTCACCTGGAGAGGAAGGAACAGAGGCAGATTTCTCTTTGTGCAACAACATGCTTAAGTAAGCATCTCTCCTTTTGCCAAGAGAACCCTGCTTGAGGCAGAGGGATGTATCTTCCCTGTCTCTGAAACGCTTATTTCTGTGAATACCAAGACAACAGCTAGTTAAAAAGAAAAGACAGGTTTTGTTAATAAATACAACTGAAAGAAACAAGGTGCTTATTTTAAATTTGCATAAAAATGTAAGAAGACTGGTCTTTTGTAAGATATAATCCCCTCTTTTCTACATTACATATTTAAGCAATGCATATTTTTGCTGAAACAAATGTAATTGGTATGACCTGAAGCCTGGGATATAAGAAGTTAAAAAAAGATAAGCCTAGTTTTTTCACAATTTGTATCACAAATTATAGCATCAAACTTAATGAACTATATTTTGTCATCAGTAACAGCGAAGTGTCATCGTTTTGGGAACATTGACTTCAGAGATGTTAAAATACAAGCATCATGAAAACATTGCTTATATCCAATTGTCTACCCCAGCCTTCCAAGAAGCTTCTGAGGACAAATGTGCAGCATATATAGTTGATTTTTGTGGTGCTTATATTGAAAGACAAAGACAAGCCGAAGAGACACTCTGGTTCTCTGTAAAAACCCAGAATTAATTCGGTCAGGTTTCTTATTGATTGATCAAGATAGTAGGAAGCATATGGTTTGGTTCTTGTTCTGTCCTCTATTTGTGTTGAAATGAAAAATTGATACCCTTGAAATGCTTTCAGCTGATTTTAAAATATACTTTATTCCTTGATGTGATAACTATGTATTAGCTATAAGACAACCTGAAGACTCAGTTTGCAAATTCAAGGAATTCTCATTCTATATCTAATTCAGACATGGCTCTAAAATCAGATGTACTCCTTCTGTTTTCCCCAGCCCTTTCTAGCCATTTTGCATCCTCAAGAACTTTGAAATCTTGAAAGTTTGCAACAATCTTCAACTGGCAATATGCATTTTACATTTTCCCCTTTATGGCAGAATACAGCAACTCTTGCTTTGTAAAGAGCGCAATTTAAGTTTCAGTGATCTATGAAAATATAACATGTTTTTTTTATTAAGCACTTCCTAATAAAGAAACCAGTCAGCCATGAAATCAAATAATATTAGGATTCATTGAAAAGATAATGTCAGTAGAAAATGCTTGGTAGGAATCTTTTCCATCGTATGAACAGTATCAGTAGTCACTAACTCTGAGATATAGTATTACTAGCATCTCCATGATTGTATTACCTTTTTATTTCAATATAGTCATTTTATTAGTATTTCATTTTAATTTGGCTTCAGGCATGGGTTGGTCACTTTCAAATGGAGGATGCTAGGGGACTGATGTTATTTCTTAGAAACCAGTTTTATGCCCAGTTGTATATTAGCCCTTGGAACTACTGGAAGAGACCGTCAAAATATTTAGAATGCTTTGATATCAATATGCAGATAACAGGCAGCTCTTTCTTTTTCATCTACTACTAGGGAAGTTGCTAATATTCTAGATCAGTATTTGATATTGTATGATCAGAGCCAAATTAATCTATGGAGGCAAAAAGCAGAATGAATATGGCACCATCTCCAGCTGACAAATGTTATTAAAAGGCATAAACCTTTGTGAGTTACAGCTCATTTTGTCAAATGCATAGTGGCTAGATTGATGTACGATTAAAATTGGATGGCGGGGGAGGCAGGTTGGCTCTATAGATGCAAATTTCATGAGAGATGGTTTAAAGTACTTTAATAAGTTAAGAATTATGATGTATGAAATCCTGTTGTATTGAGGTTTGTGAAATATCTGGGATTTTCTGAGTATTTGAAGATTGTAACGAACCAGATGAGAGATAATGCATTGAAATTTAATCCAGTTAAAATGAGATTATTTAGTCAGGAAGTGGACATAGAATACAATTTCAGTATGTTTGGGGTAGAGTAATATTCTTCCTGAAAAATAAGCGTCAACCAAAGATGTTGTGGTCAAACAAGAGACTTGGTTATGATGACAATTATAGATTGACTAGCTACATTTAAATTGGATTAATAAAGTGTACTTTTGATGGATTATCTATTCATCCATCCAGATGCTTAATCCATCTATGAATTCATAGAATACTAGCCGTGTAACTCCATTTGCAGTGACCAGTTCCTTTAGAAGATGCTTTCTTTTGCTTCTGCCTGTTTTATAGTTTTTATTTAAGTATTCATATAATTTGTTTTAATGTATTTTCAGCATGGTTTTCGTATGGTCTGTTAACTATAGTAAATTGTATAACAATTCCAAATATTGCACATATGCTGCAGAACAAGAGGGGAATCTTCCAGAAATGGAATGGAATGTCCCTAGCTTACAATTGTTACAGAACAATATGGCAGCATTTCTCTGAAGAAACTATTGTCATATGTTTTATGTACATGGGCATCCTCACATTCCATTGAGATAAATGGAAATTAAGCCTGGAGAGCTGGAAATGAAACCAAATGTGTTTTATGTGTAGATAATGTTATTTCCAAGTCATTCACTAAGTTTTTGTTTGCTCTTTGACTGCAGGAATGACCTGTCAAGCCAGAACATCATACACAGAAGATGAAGTTCTCTGGGGCCATCGTTTTTACCCTGTTATTTCCTTAGAAGAAGGATTTTTCAAAGTAGACTACTCCCAATTCCATGCAACCTTTGAAGTTCCCACTCCACCTTACAGTGTGAAAGAACAGGAAGAAATGCTGCTTATGTCCTCCCCTTTAATAGCACCAGCTGTAGGGAACAGTAAAGAAAGGAATAATTCTATAGAATGTCTCGATGGCCTTGATGACGTTGGTACAAAGCTACCATCCAAACTACAGAAAATGACTGGAAGGGAAGACTTTCCTAAAAAACTGTTGAGAATGAGTTCTACAACTTCAGAAAAAGCCTATAGCATGGGGGATCTCCCTATGAAACTTCAACGAATAAGTTCTGTCCCTGGAAACTCAGAAGAGAAACTGATATCTAAGACCACAAAAATGTTATCAGACCCTATGAGCCAATCTATGGCAGACTTGCCCCCAAAACTTCAAAGGTTATCAGGAGGAGGAGGAGGCAGAATGGACGGAAACCTTCCCCCAAAGCTGAGAAAAATGAATTCTGATCGATTTACATAACAGGAACAAACTTTGTAGGCATTACTTGAATTGCCATTATATCTAATTTGGGCAGAAAAGCAAATACATTTAAATAATATTTGGTGACTGGGTTTCTTTACAGCTACATGTACTCTGGGATAATACTCTCCCCTTTTAAGGACTGATGAAATCTACAATAAAAGGTCTGAAGTTCAGCTTAGGGTCAATCTGAAAGCTAATAAGATAATACTATTTGGCATGTAGTATCATCACAAGCATGCAATAATAGTGTGCAAATTTTGCATATAGTTTTATGGCATGGTTCTTATTATATTTATACTGTATATTCTGGGAAAAATGTAAATGGAGTGTTATTCTCCTAAATTTCTTAAGCATTGATTAATAAGTAAAAACAAAAGTAAGCTACTAACAGGGCAGATTATAATTTATAAGGGCACAAAATCCAGCAAAAGACGAACATTTCAGACATGACCGGGTGCCCATTGCATCCTCCATTTCATTCAAAAAGATGGGGAGTTTTCTGCTGAAACATCTCCCACTCACTCAGTAGCAGCTCTCATGAGAGTAAGGAAAGATTCAGGAGAAGACTATACATAAAGAAGAAACTGAATCAGATCTTTGGTTAATCTTTAAATACATATTTAATTACTTTTCAGTCAATACAGTTGAATGTGTATGTTGGCTGAATCATGCCCATTTTTTTCCTGATGTGAATTGTGGTGTGTTTTCTTCAGGCAGTTACAGTGCATGGTTTCTTTGTTCAAGTAAGGCTACAGCTCTTAAGAATTCTGAACACCAAAACTTTAAGCCTTAAGCGTTTTTCTTGCTTTAACACAGTGGTTCTCAACCTTTTTAATGCCGCGACCCCTCAGCCGATCGTAAGTCGAGGACTACTCAACTGGTGCAGCACCGTTTGCAGAATGGGGCTTTTGGCGGGCTCAGCAGGGCAGAGACAGCCTGGACAATTCCTATTGGCTTTTGAAAGCCAATAGAATTAGACTCTATTCAAGAGAGACTATTCTATTGGCTTTCAAAAGACAATAGAATAAAAGGGAGTAGCACAGCTAAGGAAAAGGGGAAAAAATGGTGGACTGAGTTGTTTGGCGACCCCCATGAAATGGTCATTCGACCCCAAGTGGGGTCCCGACCCACAGGTTGAGAACCACTGCTTTAACACTTTCCCCAGTTTATTTTGTTATATGGATACTCTATTTTTTTTTCTTTACATAAAAGTCAATTATGGTTAATACCTGGCAGGCACAGTTCTATTTTAGGCAGAGGTCATAAAATCAAAAAAATTGTTCTGATACATGCTTGTTTCATTTTCATTAAAAATAAGTATGAAATAAAGTTCAACATGGAAATATTTTTTTTGATTAATTATACTGGTGGCTTACTCTGATCCTTCATACATTAAATAAATTTCTTTTTTCATATTAACTATTTATATCCATGTTCATCATACAGTAAAGTTAGATTCAGATAACCAAGGGCCTCAAGCTTACCATGAAAGATGTGTAAATCCCCTTGTGAAGTGCTTTTTGGAAATCTGTGAACGCAGATAGGTTCAGAGCTATTCATAGCTTCTTAGAAATCAAAGACCTTGGGAGTAGTCATCTTAATGGCTATTATAAGGTTCCCGATTATTGGAAATTAACTTGCAGATTATTTTATGACAATAGTATTTCTTAGGGTCTGCAACTTCATTAATGAAAAGAGTTTTTTTCCCACAGTACAAGCAGCCTAATCAGCGATGGCAGTGTTGCCTAAGTTCTCCTTAACTGTACGAAGGCAATCAAAGACAAATTATAACGGTACCTACTATGCATTATCAGAAATAGAGCAAGCAGCTTTAGTACCCTTCAACAATGCCTGTGGACTGCTTCCAACTGATGTACAAAAAAGAATTAAAAGGTGCATTTGCAGCCCAAGATTGCACTTCCTGTGCAAAATCGGAAAACAGATCACGGGTAACAAATCAGTTAAAAGGGCCATATTTGTACTCGGAGCAGGCAGTTCTACTGTTGTTGCATTATGCTACTTGTTCTTGCTTCTACATGCCAGTGAATCAACCAAAATGATATTAAACATTCAGAAAGGAAGAATGATAACTCTACATAGCCAAATGACTTGGAGATTCTTGGCTAGAGGCAGATCTACACCCTGTACCTTGTTTTCCAAGGTTATTTCCATCTATTACATGTACATAGAGTCATCCAGATGTAATTTATAGTCAAGGACACTCAGAAGCCACTACGGTGGATTATGGAGAAGAAGGGAAGCCTTATAACTATCTTCATCAGAATTCAACTATAAGGATCAATGGGAGATGGGGGAAAAAGACTTGCAGGTACAATTTAGCTATAAACATGCAAGTCTTCTCTTTTTTTAGCTATTTTAGCCAAGGCAGATTTAGAATCTTGTATGATTCTTTTGTGAAATTCTTATAATTATAGTCCAAAAGAGTACCAAAAAAATCTAGAAATATATGATCTAAAGACAATCTCACTGCACCAAAACAAGAGCCACAGTCCTAGTAATAGGATTATTGATTATAGTATTCAGAGTAACTCATAGAAATACAGCCTATAATAATCTTGTTTACAGTGTGCTACACACAAAAGACATCAGGGATCAAGGAGTATCATTGCCAAGAGGTGCCTGTAGGGTAAGAAAATGTTTAATACACAATCTAGTTGGCTTAATTATGTAAATTTTATTACCTGCTACAAGAAAGGATGAATAAACATGGGTAAGATTTCTTCTAATTAAGTTAAGCTAAATCCAAGCATCCAAAGCAATGACGATCGATAAACCTCAGAGCAAAATCACTCTCATTGTGTAACACAAAAGCTTCAGTAAGGAACCAAGATACTCTAGGTCAGGGGTCTTCAAACTTGGCCCTTTTATGACTTGCAGACTTCAACTCCCAGAATTCCTCAGCCAGGCACACTGGCTGAGGAATTCTGGGAGTTGAAGTCCACAAGTCATAAACGGGCCAAGTTTGAAGACCCCTGCTTTAGGTGATTCCAAGGGCTTGTGTGCTCCCGAAATAGTATTTGACTTTTTTCCTTTTCTGTTAGAAACTGGTTCCTAGGCCATATAAGAAACTACTTCTGAAGTTCCTTGCAATATGCCATAATTTCAAATTATTCACAAAAAAAGTCCAAAATTCCCTTGAGAGCTTAGTGCTAGTTGCGCTATTCTTTGGACCCTAATCAGACTTGGAGCCTTGGGCTGAATTACAGTTCTGCAACCAGCTTAATCAGTTAATGCTTGGAAGGTGGAAATCTGGCCCTAGATTTTTTTTTTTTTTTTTGCCATGAAGCAAAGCCAGAAGAGGAAAAAAAAAAAAGCACAAATGTAGAAATCAATTAAGCCTGCACCATTCCAGTGTTTGAATCACAAATATTAACAATTCAAGCTTTCACGGCCAGTATTGATTCAATGGGGCTAAGCTTTTGAGCTAATAAGCCATGACTAATTATCTGGTATACTGATATTTCACCAGCAACCATGGCTGGCATCTTCAGAGGTAAAGTGATCATGGGCAACTGAGCAGAAACTGATAGAACTTTTGTATTTGTAACAGAATTAATCTCTAACTGATTAATGTCCCTGGAAAGCTAATTTCTGATTGGTTCTTTATACAAGCAAATTTGTAATTGGTCTGATTTTAACAAGTTCTAAAGGGGCTAATTTTTTATTGGTCTGTCTGAAACCAGCTACTGCTTGTTACTATTATTATTATTATTATTATTATTATTATTATTATTATTATTATTATTATTATTATTATTTCAGGTAAGACCGCTGGAGATTCTATACAGTGTGGTTAATCAAGGGCTTTTTTTTTAGGGTGACATAAAACTGGAAACCAGGCTTTGTTAACATTCAGACTTTCTTGTTAATGTTGTTGGAGTGTTTATAAATCTCAATAGCTTCTCTCTATAGTTGTGCATGACAATTTGATATGATTGCTAATACTCGTGTGTCTTTAAATTGAATCTACGCCCATTATGTAGCAGTGGGTGTTCAGCTACCACTGATTTTCAAGTTGTAATATTTCTCATGTTCATTTGGTTGAATATTCTTTTTTAGTTCCAATACATACCTGTGTACAACTGCAAGGTTTGCAACAAACCTCTGATGATGAAAGATGACTTCTGCCATCCTTAAGTGAATGAATAAATTCATTTGTAGATAGTTTTTAAGTTGTATTTCTCCAGTAATGTTCAGTTTGGTTTGTAATTTTTTTAATAAAAGGAGAAACACCTTTCCTACTCTGGTATAGTTTGTCCTTTGATATATATGTGAAGCTGTTTTTATTGTTGGATTGCATCACTTGTGTGATCTCACCACCAGAGGAACCATTAGCTTGTAAAAGTCGGGATATCTCAACTCATCAAGTAATATTTTCAGGCTCACAAATAAATGAAGTATGATCAGTGAAAGTTTTAACGTACTTTATTAGAGGAGATGATGGTTAGAATTAATTAGAATTAAAATCAAATGCATATTGGCTTTTAGTATATCTGAATTGTTGGGTTGTTTTTTTTTGTAATGATTAGAAATCCAAAAATACAAATTGGCCATTCTTCTCTTCCATTGTAAATTGAATATTTTAGTGGATACAATTCAGATGCTCTAGAAATTTTTTGAGTTCTTCCTTACCATAACTCCAGATCCCAAAAAAGTAATCCACATACCAAAACCAAACTTATGGCTTAAACGTGCCATGTCTAGTCCACATTGCTCAAATTTCTGTATGTATTTATGTAATTTCAGCCCATTTAATTTGTTCAGAGAACGTGATGTTCCCCTGGAAATAACCACCAGTTAGACAATGATGGAATAAATTGGTAAAATCCTTGGAGAAGTTTTTCTTAATACAGTATATACAGTACTGATGTTTCCTTAATCAGCAATTTTGTAAAAAGTAAAACCACATCAAAACTGATTAGTATATTACCTTGTCTAAGACCAAGCTTATTAATTTCTCAATGAAATGGGTTGAATCCTTAATATGTGTTGACGTAAGTCCACTGCGAGGCTGTAAAAGTGCAGTTAAGTGTTTTGCCATAAGACATTAGCTGTTAGATCACATTTAAGTTTTTATGAGTTGCCTGGTGTAAGAGGTCCTGGAGATGGTTCTGACAGTCTTTCATATTCATAATCACTGTAGCATTTCCTTTATCTGCTGGCAGAATAGTGATACTCTCTTGTGCATTAAGATTGTTTTACGGAACAATCTCCCATTGTCAATATATTGGCCAGGGGCTGAGATCTCTTTAAAATTTGACCAATCTTATGTCTTGTTTCTTCTCTAGCAGTGTTTCTCAACATTATGATCTGGAGACTTCAATTCCCCCAGCCAGCATGTACCTGACTGGGGGGATTCTGGAAGTTGAAGTCCAGACATATCAATGCTACAAAAGATGAGAAATATTGTTCCACAGAAACCAACATTTCGTGACTACTGAGTGGGTGATTGGAGAGTGGGTGTATGATGATATCAAATATTGGTTTTAACAGCTGTGTTGATAATCGTCAAATTTGGGTTTCTGTTTCAGAATATAGTAGAGATAGTCCTTGATCTATCCTAGTTTGTTTAGTGACCATCTGAAGTTACAGCAGCACTGAAAAAAGTAACTTATGACCGCTTTTCACACTTATGACTGTTGCAGCATCCCCAGGATCACGTGATTTACATTCGGATGCTTGACAACTGGTCCCTATGAATGCATGCAGTGTCCTGGGGTCATGTGATCATTTTTGGCAACCTTCTGACAAGGTCAATAGGAAAGTCAGATTCACTTAACAACTGTGTTACTAACTGCAATGATTCACTTAACAAATGTGGCAAGAAAAGTCATAAAATGGGGCAAAACTCCCTTAACAACTTTCTCGCTTAGCAACATAAATTTTGGGCTCAGTTGTGGTCGT